ATATGGGTGTTAGTGTAAACACCGTTGTCCTTGAAACCAGTGGTTTGGTTTCACTTATAGAACGTAAATTCAATGAAATATAACAACATTTTTTTTAATAAAATCCCAATTTTTCCTTAATTCCCCAATTTTTGCCAGGATGAAAGTATGAGTTACATCACGAGTTATGTGTACCTATTGTGTTTTTATTGGAATGTAGTGTAGGTAGCTAGCGCGGGCGGTGATCTTTACAGTGATTACGTCACTCGTGCGAATAGGGTATCTATGAATTTACGGACAGTGTCGGTCAGAAAAATTTTAAATTTTATGAAAGAAAATAGAGTTTTTTTTTTTTAATTCATTGAATTTACGTTCTATAAGTGAAACCAAACCACTGGTTTCAAGGACAACGGTGTTTACACTAACACCCTTACTGAATCGATTCCTATCATTTTTATATAGGTAATTTTTTATCCCAAAAATAATTAAAATTACGTAAATTACAGTCACACTAAATCTGTACAGTCAAAACAAACTGAAATAAACCGTAACTTAAGGCAATAAGACTTTTAAGAGTGCAGTTTTATTTGTATTATTACTAAGTCTGTCATTCAATCAAAATAAAGAAAAATTAACTTTATTTCAAGCACGTTTAAGTCTTTGCGTTTGTGGATTTGTACTGTGACCACAACATTCTTCCGGAATTAGTATAACTAATTTGATAAATAATAAGTGCATAAAAATGTTTAACTAAAAATTTAGTGTATGTATTATGATTATAACATAATATACTAAATGGGATGTCCGAGGGTGTGCGTTAATTAGTTACAAATTGTATATATGGTTTCTATGTTGGTGCTGCTAGACTATGCGGCTCTTACAGATTCATCGCTCTCAGGGCTCGCGGCCTGAGGGCGGCAAGCTTAAAATAAAATTTAAAAATGTCGGCATCGATCTGCATCTTTACTTGCGTAACGATGCTCGCCTACGTCAGTTGTGAATGCACGTAGATGAGTTATCTAACGGCAGTCCGAACCGGGGGTTGAGGGCCCCAACTTTGACGGCCAACTCGTATCGTTCGATGTTGCTGTATATTATACTATCAATAATTCTAACGTGAGGATTGTAAAATCGGCCCAAAATGAGATAGCTGATTAGGCAGAAATTTTTACTTAGTCTCAGTGAATACAGAAGGTTGCTTTGTATATTTCATATCTATTATTTATGATTGTTTTAAGTAGGTTATTCTAATTATTATAATTAATTAATCACTAAACTTTTGCAATAAATAACCCTGTAATGGGATCTTTGAATACAAAATAAATAAAATGATCAAAATAATGAGGTAGAGTCACACTACTATAATATTAGGTTTGCAGCGAGAATATAAATAAATACCAGCCTGATATAACAACTTACTACTATGTTTCGTATGGTGGATGTAGAGAAATAGAGAATTCTTTAATTGATAGCAAGGCATTCTACACATTGAAATAATACTAGTTTTTACGGAATTTATCGCGTATATTTAACTTTTTAAATAAGTAACTTCGTTCCGATCTATACAAAGTAACTTTGTATAGATCGGAACAAAGTTACTTTGTATAGATCGGAACAAAAGTTAAATTTTAATCTATGGTAACCGCGGTTAACTATGATATATGGACGTTGAACATCTCAGTCCCGCCCGTGACCATGAGTGCTGTAAAGCGTTCGAAACGTCGGGTATTTAAAAAGTTAAATATACGCGATAAATTCCGTAAAAACTAGTATTATTTCAATGTGTAGTGTTCGCGTAAATATAAGAAATCATTAAGGCATTCTACCTTAGTCCACAAAGATGATAAGTGATAACATATTATATTAGACGCAGAAATTAGGATGTTTTATTTTTAAGTTACAATAATCCTTGTTAGGTATCGATGTTGGAAGAGGGACGAAGCAAGACTGGAGGTATTTGAAAGGAAAGTGCTCAGAAACATATTATGACCAGTCCAAGCGCATGAACCACGAGCTTGATGCTCTTATAGGACGTGAGGTCATCGTCAGGTTCTATAGGTCACAGTGGCTGAGATGGGCGGGCCTCCTGGAAAGAATGCCGGAATCTAGAGCCGTTAAAATCATGACCAAGTGGACTCCCCAGCAAAAGAGACCAAAAGGCAGGCCAAAAAAACGTTGGGTAGAAAATGTGGAAGAGGATTTGAGAAGAATGGGTAAATACACCAACTGGCGCAGGAAGTCGAAGGATCGCGACAAGTGGAAGAATACTGTGGAGGGGGCAAGGCCCACAAAGGGCTGTAGCGCCACAGGATAGGATAAATAGGAATCGATGTTCTTCTGCGAGGATTTGTGGTCTATCAAATCTGATGTAATGGTTTGGACCTTGGGACGATCTTGAACAAGTTTACATACTGCAGACTTCCCAGAGCGTTATATATTTCTTATTTTTTATAGGATAAGAATGACATTCGAGCACACAATCCAATTGATGGTAAGTGGTTGCTGTGGCCAATAGACATCTACATCTTTTCTTGACTACGCATCAAAATGCACATGCATTGTCACATATTTATTTTGACTCTTAATCGAGAAAAGATGTAGATGTCTATGGAAACAACATTCACTTACAATAAGGTGGATGCTTGCTCATTTGTAACCTTTATCCTATATAAAAAAGTTTCAATAAGTATTTTAATACACGAAGCAGCTAATATAGATTTTAGATCATTATATTCATTAGATGCAGCATCTTATATCCAATTTTAGATAACCATAACCATAAACCTGTTTAACGTTTGCCTTTGAAGGGTAATAAAACGAAATGCATTAAATTCACCACACCTAATGTTAAACAGGTGAATACCAGTGTGCTTTTAAATGGGGAGTAGCATTGTTGAATCCATTATTTTTCTCGGAATTACAGTTGACACAAAGCTTCAATGGGGTCCTCATATTATATCTAAACTAGCTAGCAAACTTAGTTCTGCAGCGTATGCTGTAAAAAGATTAGAGGCCTTACATGTGTTGAAACAGCTAAATTAGTTTTAGTTATTTCCATAGCATAATGTCGTATGAAATCTTGCTATGGGGCAATGCGACTAACATTGAAACTTTTCTCGAAGAAAACAATAAAAGCAATTTATAACCTAGGTTCAAAGGAATCTCTTAGAGAAAATTTTAAAGAAATAAATATATTAACTTTGGCCTCTTAAAATCATAATGAAAATTTAATGAACAACACAAAAACAAAAAAGTTTTATTAAAAATAGTGATGTACATTCTGTAAATACTTGGAACAAACAAGCAGTTATTATACCTGTTACTTGACTCCAAAGAGTCAGTAATTCCTTCATGGGGCAATATGCTTTTACAACAAAAACCCAGAAAATATGCAGACCTTATCTTTGTTTTCATACGATAAGGGTGACAAGCTAGCAAACAGACCACCTGATGGTAAGTGGTTGCTGTGGTTCATAGGCATCTACATTTATCCTCGTTTGGGAATCAAAATGCAGATGCGTTGTCAGCCGTGATGACTAAGATGGAATGCCTCTTTTTCAGTAAAAAGGATCTCCAGTTCTCTACAATCACCTTATGAAACATAGGAGCATTAAGCTGCTATTTTCCTCTGGTATTTTGTGAGAGCATGGAGAGCTGCTACAACTATACTATTAATATAGTTGCAGTATGGCTCTACCACAGAAGACGTTATCTATCATAAGATTTAAAATATTAGCAAAAAAATTTTAATAAGAGTTTGTTTTTTTGTTTTTTGTTTTAGCAAACAACCTTTAACCACTCCCTCCTTCTTAGTTAGAGTTATTACATTACTGAAGATTTAGATTGATAATAACCCCTGGGAATGAGGTGATTACACTGACCTCTATATATACAAGTATGCTGTAATATAGAGGTCAGTGGGTGATTACTACCATGCTGTCTCATAATGTTTTCAAAACAATTGTATAAAATATTATATTATAAACTGTGCTTATAAAACAAAACGTCGCATTGGGTTTCTTGCTGGTTCTTCCCAGGACAGAGGTTTATTTTTCTGTACTAATGATAAAAGTAAACAATGACTTTCAATAAGTATTACATAAAATCATTTTATTTAATATTTGATTGAATTGTATAATATGACTGAAAAAAATTATTATTTTTTTTTTGATCAATTTAATTCAAATATAAAATTAAATAAAATTTTGTAAAAATTCAAAAAGTATATATTACTGACAATATTTAAAAAGAGTTTCCATTTTTTATTTCAATAGTTAAGAAAATTTTGAGATATTTAATAGATCTAAATATTAATTTACCAACAGGAATGGCAGATCATTTTGAAACTACTAAAACTCAAATTATATTTCATCAACAATGGATTGTAGGGAATCTATTGTAAGTAAAGAATACACGTCTACATTATTCGAGATATGGTAGTGAAAATTAGAAAAATAGGGATCCAGAAACTTCTGGTACATAAGACTCGATAGGCTATCCTATTTTATGCAGTAGAGTCATGCTGCAGCTGTATTAGTATTGCAGTCAAAGGGGTCGGCTTAACTGGGGAAGGACCACAGTCTCTCAGAATACTAGCATGAAATAGCAGCTTAACGCTGCTGTGTTCCATATGGTGAGGGTAGAGAACTGGAGACCCTTTTTACTGGAAATTAGGTATTCCATCTTGGTCCTTATGAGTGACAATGCATCTGCATTTTGATTCGTAATTGAGGATAGATGTAGATGTATCAACTACTAAACATCAAGTGGTCTGTGCGCCCGTTTGTTACCCTAATCCTATAAAAAAAACCTCAAGAATTATGATCAAAGAACACGATATTTGTCATTCCTTTAGTTTCAGTAAATAAAAAACAACATGATAAAACAACTTAATTATCAAAAATAATCATGTTTCTAAGCCATGTACAAAACTCAAGATATCTTTCAAGCAAACTTTAGACCGTGGCCTTGAGTCTACTGGTAGATGTATTCTAAGCTGTAATATGCAATATAGAACACACCCCGGTTGTGAATCACCCACAGGGTGCAGCAGCATTGTCATCTCTGATAGCTTGTTGAAAGCTGTCCCTGCTTCCCTGAATATCTCACCAACCTAGAAAGATTAGAGATAAGTTAAATTGTAGTTATGAAAACAATGGTAAAGGAAAACATTGTGAGCAATCCAGCATCTCCAAAAAACTCAAAAACAATATTTCGTAAAAATGTGAAGTCCATAGGAGGAGTCCACAATATGTAGTATTTACTGTGTGTATGTCTGACTCTACAACTCCTCCCCTCCCCCCCCACCCTCCCCCCTAATTCAGGCGACCGAATTGTTAACCTTACCCACTGAATTTCCTAAACACAGCCACTAAATAGAATTGGACACTACACACCTGCACTTATCACCCTCAATTATTAATCACCTGCACTCACACTTATCAAAGTGAATACAGGCCTTTTTATCTAGTGGGGGGGTCACCCAAAATTGTACTCGTCAGTACTGCTGTCACTTAAGAAACTTTATTTTTTATCAATTGTCCATTGTTTGAACTATATGACCGGTTACTGGTCTACTGATCCATTTGGCAATTAGGTAATAGGTAGAACAAAAGTAGATCACCATATGGTCTCTTATTCTACCTACTTCATCACACAGAAAACTTCTAGTAAAACCTAATGGTTTCAGAAAGCATAGGCGTGTCATAATAATATATTACAAACAATAATATAATATTAAACTTTATTTTGGATGTTCAAATATTAAATTTAAAACTAAAACTCTGAGATAAAATAAACGGAAAGCGAAAGTAATATATAAAAATATATTATCATTCGAACGTATTGTATTGGCCTATATGTACTTACTTTTGCAGCAGCGTTATTCATGGTAGATAACTAACCGCTCTCGAAAATGACAACTACACAGTATTAACTAAATGATAAAAATTGAACCCCTACGCCTATTAGTTAATAAAACTTAGGGAAAATACTACTTTAAAACGTCGGTGGATAAATAAATACGCTTCGTTACACTCGGATCGGATCGGAAGGAAGAGATGGAGTAGAGTAATCATAGATAAATAAATATGTAGCAAGCTAAGAGTAATATAAAACATATACCGTAGACAGAGAAATATATACAGTAATCTATGTCTAAGAAACAATCTATGGGATCGCATTGCTACAATCACAAATAAGAGGCTACAATATACTTATACCCCTATTACGAGGGGCACACTGAAATGATCGGGAATAAGAAAAACCACGTGCACGGTACAGCTAAATTGTATTTTATTGTTTTTTTTATTGTTGTTCAACTTAATGCACTTTTAGAAAATAGTGTCCCAGAAATATGGACACCATAAGTGAGGCGCTGCGATCGCTAAATTTGGTCAATAAAAATCATTTTCAGTTCATTTTCCTGATCAGATGCTAAACCCTTGCACATCCACGCACAATAAAATATTTCTCCATTTTTTAATGTTTCTTTTTGTCAAAAATTACATAATTAGCGAGCATGAAAATTTTCTCACCGATGCCGCGGAGAAAATTTGCACATTATTCAACTAACTTCATCTACTTGTACTCATAAACAGCTAACTTCGCAGTCACAACTCACCGACGTCAGCGCCACTATAAATTCTACAATTTTCAAGGACAGGCGGGCTATGCTTTAGTACGTAGTGATCGTTCTCCTGTTCTCTAACCTTCATGCCATGCTATAACGCCTCAGATTAATAACTAGAATAGAGAGAGTCCTAAAATAGCAACAAAATTCTCATACCTGAAGTCTTCATACATATGACGTTTAATATAGTACAAAATACGTAGACAGAGAAACCTATAGACAAATTGACGCCTTCTTTCGCATTCGCACAAGAAAAAGATGGATTTATGCATACGTCTTGCATAGAAATGAGATAGAGCGGTGTGATTGTTTGTCCCTTTCACCGTGCCGGTTTTTTTGTTTAGCAAACTCTACAGTTTGCTAACAAAAATATTGTCGATAAATTCATTTAGTCTATGACTTTTAGGAAAGGAACTTGAAGGATTTTTATTAGTTTCGTAATACTTACTTATATCAATGAAAGTTTATGGAAGCTTCAATCTGACATCTTACAACAAAAATAGTCGAATAATGCAGAATTTTGTACTATCGTTGTATAATTTAAAATATAGCGTGAAAAGTTCACTATGGTATATTTCTGCTAAATTATACTTAGCTATAGGTTTCAGAAGGAATAATAACTGTGTTTGTTTAATCGACACTGAGTTTGTGTCACACTACGTACACAGAGGGCACTTCTACGTAAGTTTTTGTTATAGAATAAGGGTGCCAAACGAGCACACAGGTCACCTGAAGGTAAGTGGATTCTGTGACCCGTAGACATCAGCATTTATCCTCGATTAATAATCAAAATACAGATGCGTTGTCACCCCTGAGGACGAAGATATACTGCCTCGTTTCCAGTAAAAAAGGTCACCGATTCTCTACACTCACTATGCGAAACATAGCAGCCTTAAGTTTTTTTTAATAGGATAGGGTAACAAACGAGCACACAGTCCACCTGAAGGTAAGTGGTAGCTGCGGCCTATAGATATCTACATTCATCCTCGATTACAAATCAAAATGCAGATGCGTTGTCAGCCTGAAGTACTAAGATGGAATACTTTGTTTTCAGTAAAAAGGATCTCCGGTTCTCTAAACTCACCATACGAAACACAGCAGCTTTAAGCTACTATTTTACGCTGGTATTCTGAGAGACTGTGGTCCTTCCCCCGTCAAGCCGACCCCTTTGACTACAATACTAATATAGCTGCAGCATGGCATTCTGTGAAAGCGTGGCCTTTCCCCGATCGAGCTGACCCATTCATGCTTCAACTATACTACTAATATAACTGCAGCATGGCTCTACCATGTAAAAACGTGCCATTTTACTCTGGTATTCTGTGAGAACGTGGTGCTATTCCGGTCGAGCCAACCCATTTGCGCTACAACTGTTATAGCTAAAGCGTGGCTCTACTACGTAAAATAGTATAGTAAGATAACATTGGCACGATCGCCTTTTCTTTTGTCACTAGATCACAACTACCAATAAAATCATTTAGGAACGTATTACACGTTTTTCTCTCTCTGCCCCAAAATATTATTCATCATTAATTTCTTAAATATAGCCAATCAAAAGTCCACTGCTGAACGTGGGGGGAACAATTGCCATAGCAGCTCTTAGCAAGTGGTTTAGCAACAGTATTTTTCTATTATTTTGATATTTTTTTATTGTTTTGTCTTGAAGATACTGTTGCCTTTCTCATGTTTCATTTCTCTCTGTTGTCTTTTGCAGTACTCACGGGATAGTATGGGATCTTAGAGCTTCTGAGTAATAATAAATCATATTATTTGGTAGGAGGTAGTGAATTTTTTTTCGCCGCCGTTCAGTGTTACCAAGATCCTGCCTTACCTTTATGATTTAGAAATATTTTCATCTAAGCATAATCTGCTTTTTTAAATTATAATCGATGGTTTAAATTTTCACAAACAAGTGGTAAATCTAAATTAAAAAAAATCAATTGCCTCATGTATGAAAGATCATCACTTAAGAAAGGCTGAACAGATTTCGATTAACTCTCAAACTTACAATTTAACCCGGTATGTAGCATTGTTGTCAAGATAGAAAACAGTCGTGAAAAGCCTGGGCCCGTCGTTAGTCAGCATATAAAATTATGATTACAATTGGGATCCAACTCGGTCGTGTAACTTGTGTCTGTCAAGACTTAGTATTAATATTATTAGTTTGTCATAATTGTTAGTTTTTAAAGTTTGCGAAACATTCTCACTTGATCTAGAAAACAATTTACTGAATGGTTCGAATAATAATGAGCCTGGTCCTATTTTTTTAATATTTGCATATAAAGTAATAACAATAAATAACTAAACAAAAACGAGTATATCGATATCAATTGTTGCTTACGTTGCGAACGAAATCACTGTAGATTACAGACGTAACGTCTGGTAAAGTAACGTCATACATAATAATGCTACAACAGGGATGTCATTTTTCTAGTAAATTGGAACATACGAGTATCTATACTTACTCTCATATTTGGTATAATATAAAGAGACCAAAGATGACCAATACGCAACATCTTTCAATAGATTTGTCTCTTTTTGCCTTATTTGAAAATTAAATTAGAAAAAGGGAGACAAGTATACTGACTCAATTTATGTAGAATTGTAGGTTCTCTCTATGCATACGTATGTATGTAATTACTCTAAGTATAACGCAAAGATAGTAGGCATCCTGTAACATTTTACAAAGTTCATTTATTGTCTATAATATACTCAAGACGTAAATTTATCATAATTGATAGAATCAGGCGTTACTTTGCGGAAATCCATTATAATAATGACATTAATTAATTTGCAACCATCCGCCTACTAAATACAATGGTATGTCTTACCTAGATTGAAGAGCACCTCCCGCCCTCCCTCAATTGCGTGCACCAATCCCGTCACCACTAATCCCAGCACCACTACTCTCAACACCATTACTCCCGAAACCACTACCCCCAACACCACTATTCCAGGAAAAACACACCATCGACGATAATACGACACGTATTTCGCCTCTACACGAGGCATCCTCAGGTAATGTAGACTCTACGGCAGCTGACCGCAAAGTCAAAAGCGCTTAGTAAAAAGCTAAGTTCTTAACGTTAATTTTACGTGGTAGTTTCATATATTACCTTCAGTATTATCGCATTTTCTGAATACATCTACGAAACTATACCGAAATACAAACAGGTATAGTAGGTAACCGTTCATCCGTAAAAATTCAATCAGAAAAATGGTTGCAACGAATTACGAAGTACCATAAGCCGATAAAATAATTTCCATTACAAAATAACTATTAACTTATAAGACTGTACTTAAGCTATTCATTGAGTTAAAGCTCAAAGAATATAATTATTAGTAAGAAAATGAATAAAACAATTTCAATCCATTTTCAATATTTGTAAACTTATCTTAATTAATTACCACAATAAAAATAAGTACAGTTTTACATCAAAAATGGAATCACCGATAGAAGACAATTGTACTTCTGAAGTTTATTTATTTTCGGCTGAAAGACCATTCGCCTGTTTGTTGATTGGTAATTAAAATTTTCGGGATTGAGTTATTTGTGCTAAGTACTCGTAAACCTTCTAACTTTAAAAATTTAGACGTTATCTAACTTTTACGTATTTTGTTTCGAATATTTATTTCTTGGCAACATAAAATTCGTGATAATCATCGTTCTTAACTTTTAACATACGACATTTTATACCTTCGAATAGTTGGTATTTCGTAACCTTTTACGGCAAAACATCGTTCATAAAATATATCTCATGAAGATCCATCTTTATTAATGATGTTTATTATCGATTTTTGAAAGAATTGATGTGTCGTTTACATCCCTAGTCGCACATCGAATAAGTGTCATAACTCCCTTAGTGTTATTACACTGCACGGTGGAAGGGCGTGAAGCAGACCGCATCCACTTTGATGCCCTAATTAGGGACGCTTACTCCCTTTCTCTTATTACACCACCCTGAATCAGGGCGTTGGCAGCCAGATTCAGGGTAGTGTAGTAAGTGTTATTTTACTGCACGGTGGCAAGGGCACTGCAGACCGGGTCCACTTTTGTGCCCTAATTAGGGACCCTTACTCCCTTTTTCTCATTACACTACCCTGAATCACGGCGTAGGGAGTCCGATTCAGGGTAGTATAATAAGGGTATTAGTGTTATTACACTGCACGGCGGCAAGGGCACCGCAGACCGGGTCCACTTTGGTGCCCTAATTAGGGACCCTTACCCCCTTCCTCTTATTACACTACCCTGAATACGGGCGTCGGCACCTTGATTTAGGGACGTGTAATAGGGGTATTATGCCGTCATTTGCATTGGCCAGTATTTTGGGTTCTATTTCGGAACACAGGCGTAATCACTACGTTTAAAGATAAAGATAAAGATATTTTATTTTGCAAATATGGGTACAGTACATGGTAATATAGGTAGTGAGTTCAGCCATATTTTACCAGTAGGCATGCAAAATATACAGAAATATAAACTAATCACCTAAATAGGTATAACAAAATAAAATAATAACACAAAAACAAACATAATTCAAATTTTTAACATTATACAGTCTTAATCTCAAAATAAAAAAAATTCAGTCAAGAATTCTGTTATGCTATAGTATGCTTTGACTGTCAAGAAGCTACGAAGCCTTTTTTTAAATATCGATAGCGGCAATTCTTTCCAATTTTAGGTATTTCATCATATATGACTGGAGCCATGCAGTATATACTTTTGTGCATTAGTGCTGTCTTAGCGGATTGATGACACAAAAGGGTATTGTCGCGTCTATTACGTGGAACTACGTAATGGTACTGGATGATCAAGGCGTTTAAAACGTTTTGGATGCAATTTAACAAACACAGCTACTTTTAGTATGTATAAACAAGGTAATGTCAGTATTTTATACTGTTTAAAATATGGCACGCAACTATCGTTAGTTTTAAGCTTAAACATCCCCCTTATGCATCTTTTTTGAGCCTTAAACGCTGATTCTTTTTCGGTTGAGTTACCCCAAAATATTATTCCATATCGGAGATGGGATTCTGCTAAGCCGTAGTAAGCAGTGAGCCGTGCATCTGTGTATACTATTAAAG